AAGCAGGGAATTTTAAAGGATTGTCCTACCTTAAAGCTTGGCAGTCTCTTTTGTGTCCTGCTGGTCCAGTTTGGACAGCATACTGTCAGCACTTGAGGCAAAGGCAGTTTCTTTGCCCAGTTGGCTAGCTTTTGCCATAAAGAAAGCAAACTCCATATGGAATTTCTTTGATGCCCATCATTTTCTTTGAAGTAAATTGGTGTTGCCAGGAGCAGACGTGTTGTGCAGTCAAAAAAATCTTTATGTTATTAAGATATTTTTAATTTTTTTGTTATTAAAACATTTTAAGTGCCATATTCTGTAGGTCTTTTAAGTGTTTGAAGATCATATGTTTATATAAATATATCTGTTTAGCCTTGAAAACATACTTAATATAAGTTTGATTATTATAGATGACTATTACCCTATATTTTTAAATTATACATTACGTGTTTAAATGAGTCACATAGGCACAATACCCCAAACAAGAGTAGAAACATACATGCAGTATAACAAAATTAACTTTAAATTTGTATCAATAAACCAGAATCTATACCAATGTAAAATATTTTGAGATTAATAGTTTTTTTAAATTAAAGTAGAATCAATAATCTTCCCTTTTATCTCATCATTTCTATATCATATCCCCCTTTTTTCCTTTAGAAAGAGATGTTTGAATTTAACTCCTTTGTGTATTTTTTTTACTATGACCAATAACAACTTGTAAACAACCCCCCTAAAGAATGTCAAATATCCATAATCCATTGAATAGCCAAGACCCACCCATACCCCATCTCTTGGGAATGTGGGTGTCATTCTCTACACTACTTCCTGTTGTTTGTGGGCACTGGTATCTCTGTGGGAACCTTAAGAAAATCAGGATAATTATTAAGTCATGACTGGAGTAGTTTGTGAGGTTGGACCAATAGCCTTGAATCTGTACTGGCTGCAGAGTTTTGAGGAGACTGTAACAGAGGCATTTTGAGATGCTGGATCACCTGGGCCATTCATTTTCATTGGTGTCTGGTCCCCTTGCTCTGAAAATGCATAAACTTGGTCGTTCCTGTGGCCTCTTGAATGAGTAGAGCACACAAGGTCCTTAAAGAACGGGGATTAGTATGCCATTTTAACAGTTTTAACACTTCGACTTAATGACTTTAATAATAGGCTACCAAAGCTAACAAATGACTGATAATATTCAAGTTTTAAAAGGTTAGAAGATGCCTTGACCTGTGGCATTCATTCTCATTTCCAATTAGTTAAAGACAAGTGTATTGGTAACAAAGACCATAGTCAAAAATGCATAAACTTTTAAAGGTAATATACATATCTGTATTAATACAAGTATAGACTGTGCATTGTACATGTTAGCCAAAGATGATTTTTCATTCTATGTTTAAACAGGTAAAATATGTTATGTGTTTTGCAGTTTTTCTAGGTTTATTTCTTTATATCTGAAGCCAGGATTTTCAGGGGGTCTTCCCTGATCAAATCTGATCCATATCAACCTGGAATGAATTCACAGCCTCTCACTTCCTATGGAAATAAAAGCATAGCCTCTTCCGCAAAGTAACACATCTTTTGCCTTCCATTTTGAAGCCAAGACATTTTAAAATATATAGGTTGGTATAATTCAGCAGTTTCCATAATCTGTCACTCCTTCATCAGCAACCAGAAAATTCAAAGACAATACAATAACATACAGGATCCAGATTCTCTGTTTTTTTCCCATCTTTGCGTGGCTTTTTCCCTTTATATTATTTTATTCTTTCTTTAAAGACTTTATTATCTTTAAACTATTTTTATGACTGTCTATACTATTTCTCTTTTCTCTCCCAAGCCTACGTACATTTTTTTTTCAGGGTTGAAGACCAAACCAGGGCCTTGCACTTGCTAGGCAAGTGCTCTACCACTGAGCTAAATCCCCAACCCCATCCTATGTACATTTTTAAACACACTGTAACCTGTTGATGTATTTTTCCATCTAGATCTGTCTTTACTGCATGTCTGTAATCTTCTCTGTCTGCATTAGCAAAGCTTAACCTACCATGAGGTTTAGGTCATGATTTGCTGACAGTGCTCACTTTGAGGGCTCTTGGGCTGGAGATCAATCCTACAGACAATGGTTTGGAGATACATCACTGTACTGTGGTCAACATGAGAGACATGATATTAAGGCATGCTGGCAAGGCTTGCTCTGGTGGTGCTTTCACTGGCGGCTCACACTAGGAACAGAGCCAGGTGTGGTGGCACACACCTTTAATCCCAGCACTTGAGATCTCATGTCTTTGCTTGGAAAGACACACCTTTAATCCCAGGAAGTGATGGCAGAATGCAGAAAGGTATATAAGGTATGAAGACCAGAAACTAGAGGCTTTTTAATCTTTTAGACTTTTGAGCAGCAGTTCAGATGAGATCCATTCAGGTGAGGACTCAGAAGCTTTCAGTTTGAGGAAACAAGATCAGCTGAGGAATTGGCAAGGTGAGGTTGGCAGTGGCTTATTCTGTTTCTCTGATCACCCCAATATCTGGCTCCCAGGTTTGTTTTTATTAATAAGACCTTCTAACAATTCATGCTACATGACTCAATCTTCTCATCCCTCCAATTTCGGAATTCTCATTTCTCTGGACTCTCTAGACATCTTCCTCATCTCATCTCCTCCCAACCTGTTTCCAAACATTCTCAAAACAAGCTGTACAAAAATAACCAGATAAAGAAACAAACTAAAAAACCTTCAAGGTCCAATCTGATAGCATTTCTTGGGTTTTCTGTTGAGTGGTTCCTTGTCTGGCCATGTCTTAGTGTTTGTTACTGTAGGTTCAGGTCTAGGCATTTAGAGATTCTTGGCTTCCTAAAGAATTAAAAAGTGCTGGGTGGTGGTGACAAACGTCTTTAGTCCCAGCACTTGGGAGGCAGAGGCAAGTGGATCTCTATGAGTTTGAGGCCAGCCTGGTCTACAAGGGTAGTTCCAGGACAGAAAGGACTGTTACACAGAGAAACCCTGTCTCGTAAAAACCAAAAAAGAAAGAAAGGAAGAAAGAAATGTGCCGTCAAAAGAACAGTGGGTCACATGACTGCAGGCTATTGCTCTTGCTTCTGAGGTCTGAGGGAAGGGGAGTTAGTTACTAAGGAGTGTAGCTTGATGGTTCACTATTTTGACAGATTATATTACTACAATCTCTTCTCTACCATATAAGTCCCCATAATGTATGGCTTCCCTTTCCTTCAGATCTGAGCACAAATGTTACTTCCCAGAGGCAGCCTACCACACAGGCATGACACTTCCCATTGGAAATGGTATCTTTTCCAGTGTATCTGGGTCTGAATGTAATCTTGTTGAGAGCAGGCAACATGGTTAACTTGTTGACTCTATCCTTGTGCCTGACACTAGACATAAGATCTACATCTGTGGACTTCAACCAAGCTTAAATACAAGGTATTGGGAGCGGGGAGGCTGGGGAGAAAATCACACTTGCTGACTGGACATATAGAAATTGTTCCTTGTTCCCTGTCTAGCAGCTACTCATGCTACTCACATGGCATTCACAGAGCACTCGTCAAGGGAATCAAGAGAGGACAGGTGTTATATGAGGAGAATATACCCAGGGTCTGTGCAACCGTTATATTCTTCTTCTTCTTCTTCTTCTTCTTCTTCTTCTTCTTCTTCTTCTTCTTCTTCTTCTTCTTCTTCTTCTTCTTCTTCTTCTTCTTCTTCTT